GCAATCCTAAAATGCTATGGGAAGAGAGGGAAATAGGTCCACGACGTAGGGGGTGGTGAAGGATGTAGTAAAGGTGAGCGTGTTGAGTGTGGGAATGGATAAATGTATCTGCTATGCTAAAACGCTATGGGAAGAGACTGTAGACTGTAGGTTAAAATAATTACGAAGCACGAATCGATACACATTTCGATACATGTAATCGTTTACAATAGAAATTTACAACTGAGTTGACAACAGCTGATTTTTTCTCCATAGAGGATAACAACTATTTTTACTTCCTAAAGAGTAAAAATGCTACTTTAGACCCGCAACGCATGTATTAAAAACGACTGGTATCAAATCAAATCAAATCAAAAGTTCTTTATTGCCGTATAAAACACAGTAACATGCATGGCTTGAGTCACATTATTCAAATACAATACAAGAAATAAAATACAACATTCACATAAGTAACAAACCTCTTTACCACCTATTTTTAACATAATTTTCTACAGAGTAAAAACGTTTTTCGATTAGAAATATTTTAATTTTTCGTTTGAATAAGCTGATGTCACTTATTGACTTAAGCTTGTTGGGCAGCGAGTTGAACAACATTATAGCATTATAAAACATATGGTGTTTAAAAAAGGAAGTTTTGTGTTGTGGGATATTTAAATCAGTTCTTTTCCTGGTATTGTAATTGGAGTGAGGGAATAAAGGTTCAAAAAAACTATGGTTTTGCTTTAAAAATATCAAAGTGTTGTAGATATAGATGCAAGGAAAAGTGAGTATTCTTAATTGAATGAAAGCCGATTTACATGAATCTCTTCGACCAATGCCAGCAATGATCCGAACTGCCTCTTTCTGGAGCGTAAAAATATGTTTTGTTGCACATGTTTCAGATCCCCATACCGTGACTGCATATGAGAGATAGGGGAAAACCACTGCATAGTATGCTGAGAGAAGAATAGTTTTTTCTGCAAATGGAGCCAGCCGACGTAAAACAAAAATTCCGGAATTCACCCTTTGTGCAACAATGTCAATATGACATTTGTACTTCAGATTCTTATCAATGTTAAGCCCTAAAAACTTCAAATTGTTCACAGATGGCACCGCAACATCGTCAATCCAAACACAGAGATTAGATTTACTCTTTGATGATATGCTGAAGTCAATTAAGGCAGTTTTGTCATTGTTTATGACGAGACCATTATCCTGAAACCATTGGACGATTTTATTGGACTCCAAAAAAGTGGTTACTTCCATAGCATTGTGGGTAGGTTTCTCCAAAACAATTGATGTGTCATCCGCAAATAGACATAGATGGGCATCTGCAATGCAATTACCGATGTCATTTATGTACAGGATAAATAAAGCAGGAAAAAAACCTTAAAATGGAACCTTGAGGCACACCAGCTTTGACAAACAAGACATCAGAATTGCACTTTTTCAGGGTGTTATTTTCTGTGTATGGTAATTGAACGACTTGCCTTCGTCCCCTGAGATAAGAAGACAACCATGAATTCGTTACTCCTCGTACTCCAATGTTGTCAAGCTTTTCTAGCAATAAATCATGAGATACCATATCAAAAGCTTTCCGCAGATCAAAGAAGACTCCAGAGGCCGATGCTCCTTTGTCTAATGCATTCACAACCCTATCGATTACTGAAAACATTGCATTGACAGTAGACCCACCTTTGACGAATCCAAACTGATTGGGACACAAAAGTTTGTTGTGATTCAGGAAAGTCAACAACCTATTTAAAAATGCCTTTTCAATCACTTTGGAAAATGTTGAAGTTATTGAAATAGGTCTAAAATTATTTAGATCATGAACACTGCCTTTCTTGTGGACTGGCTTTACAATGGATAATTTTATTGCGTCTGGAAAACTTCCCGTTTGAAAGGAGTGGTTGATGATATGAACTAAAGGATCTACTAAAAATTCACAACAGGACTTCAGTAGCTTTGATGACACACTATCACAGCCTGATGATGGCTTTGTTTTCAAGGACTTGATTAATTCTAATACCTCCTCCCTGCTTACAGGTGTTAAGAAAAACGAGGTTTCAGAAGAAACAGACTCCAAATTAGAGGAAGAATTTCGGCAAGCATTTACATTTCCACTACCCACTTCCACAAAAAATCTATTGAACATATTAGAGATCAATTTTGGATCACTAATACTTGTACCACTCTCATCCTTGATGTTGAAAATATGAGAAGATGGTTTCCTCAAGCCTCTATTTTCATTTACTATCTCCCAGACAGTCTTGGTTTTATTAGCAGACTTATTTATAATATCAAGCACTTTAGATGACTTGGCAGCTTTGATACTATTCCTATACTGTCTTTTCAACGAGAGAAAGTGTTGTCTCATGACGTGAGAAGAATCCATATCCTTTGTTAAGCAATACCAATGAGCAACAGTATCACGGAGTTTTAGTATTTGTTCATTCAAGGGCATTTTGCTGTGTGAAGGAAGCTTGTGAATCTTTGTCTTTTTTTCTGGAAAGGATCGTTCAATATAAAAAGATATGGAAGATAGGAATAGGTCCATCTTTTTATCAACAGAATCTGCTTCAAAAACATCAAGCCAGGTCTCGTTGCTGAGAAAGTATTTGAAGACTCTGATGTTATCCTCAGAAAATGAGCGTTTAAAAGTGCAACTAGGGTGGTTTTTCTCACGACCATCTCGTGACTTAACAACTGCTACTTGGGCATGGTGATCAGACAAAGCAGTGACCATTACATAACAACTCAAGCGATCGACTGGAAGGTCAGTGTACACATGATCTATAAGAGTTTTAGAGTTTTTGAATTCTCTTGTGTATGCTGTGATTCTATTCCACAAATCATGAGATGACATCATGTTTACCAGCCTATCAGCTTTGATATCTAAAACGGACAGATCTACATTGAAATCGCCTACAACAACAGTTCTAACATTTGGCTTTAGAAGTCTTCCTAGACAATTAGATAAGCAATTGTTAAAATATTCATGTTCTTGCAATGAAGAGGAGAATGGTTGTGGCTTGTATACGACAACTATTATAAACGATTCTTTATTTACGTCTAGCTTAACTGCAGCGATCTCACACCTACCCTCAACACAAAAGCGTGAGACATCTATGGCCTCACAGTTTAAGGAATATTTTGAAAATATACACACTCCTCCTCGTTGGAAAGACGATCTACAATAAGCCGTGACACCTTTAAACCCATACAAAGCGGTGACCTCAAATTCTGAATCCTTCAAATGATGTTCAGACAGACAAACGATGTCAGGTTCCTCCGAGTCAAGGAATATTTTAAGACTATCGAGCTTATTAGAAAGGCCCTGGACGTTGTGGTGAACAATCTTGAGACTAGGAACAAGTGGAATATCAATCTAAAAAATGCATCTGTGGTTCTGCAATAATTTTAGGAGACTCAGACAATGTTTTCCCCAATGAAGTGCTGCCTTCGCTGTTAGGATTCACGGTCGTAGGTTTACAGACTTGTTGTGTGCTCAAAATAGCAGAAAGGACAGAAGAAAACAGATTTCCCAAGTGATAGTTACCTTTACTGTTCAGATGTCTACCATCTCTAGAAAGATGATACCTCGTGACCCAAACATTTCCTTCAACAAATACAACACCAAAGTTATTGCACATCAGTTCTAGCTGGTCATTAAAGTCGAAGAGAGCCCTGTACGTTAAATCGCGTCTTATTAATATGCTATTAACAAAAACCATAGCTTTAGGGAAGAGTGTTTTTGCAGTGAACAGGAGGTCGGCCATATCATGAAGGGCTTCTCTCTTTCCATCACCACCATTGTAGCCGGCTTTACCATTATAACAAATTTTGAGATTATTAGTCCCAACATGAATATAAATTACATTTAATTCCTTAGTTCTATATTTACAAAGTTTATCTTTTATGTTCTTTATTTTAGCACCAGGACAACAATCTACTGTAACACCCTTTTTGGAAACCTCTTTGGTGGCAAATCGAATAATTGAGTCACCAATAAACAGAATGTTTTGATTGTTTTTTTTAGTTTCCTGGTTTTTGTCAAGGTTTAGAGAGGGAGTAGTAGTCTCATTGATTGATCTAAAATCAGATGATCAACTACATCACTGGTGGCGTTTTCTTTCACTACAAAAGTCTGGCTTAGGGCCTTGATTAATGTTGACAATTTGTTCATGATTGGAATGTGACTTGCACCTTTTTATATTCTTTTGGTTTTTTTGCTTCCTTAAACCAGATACATTTTTTATATAAGAACAATGTTCTTTAGGTACAATGGTCTGTTCTCTATTTACATTGTTAGATTCTTTAAAACTTAGACTACTATACTTATTATTACAACTAATAGTAACCGGTTGGTTTGCAGCTGACATAGCTGAGTTTCTTTTACTTTTGTGTTTTTTATTTTTGGTTTTGACCAGTGTCCAATCCTCATTTGGACACTTCTTGATTGTGATTGGACTGACATTGGAACATTGTATTAAAACATTGCTAACGCTACTTGCACATAACATTTCGCTAACAATACTACTGTCTTTAACGCTTTCCTTAATATTAGGTACAGAGTCCAGATTAGAATTGAGTTGAAACCATTCCAGAAATGGCTTATGGACATTGGGACAGCAGTAATAGTGGTATTACTGCAGTATGACCAAAACAATATAATATAAACCCTTGATGGCTCCGCTCAATTTTGTGGATGCCTCTGCGAACGCCACCTAGTTTGAATAGTGTTATAAATAACTGCTTTATACGCTTTCAGTTTTTGCTTTCGCGCTTCAAAGCTAAACTAAATTTAATTGGTGGAGTACAAAAGCAGGAAAAAATCAAGAGTGTTTTATTTCCCTTTCCTACGTCTACAATCGACCAATCCGAATCATGACTCACAGCCCTAGTTGCTGGATCAGCTGTTTGGCTGTGTCACTGTCAAACGAACGGACGAAACGGAACAGGGAACAAGGGAATTGGAATAAGGAACGGCAAATGGAAATGACACTAATGACAGTGTCGTCAGCTGTCTGCCTTGCGGAGTGCGTCATTATTTATTGAGTCAATTTGTTGTGTTTTTGTTTTCTTGTCAGTGAAGTGTCTAATGTTTCAGTTAGTTTATGGTCCGAGTTCTAAATATTAACAGTAAGTGCTATTTGCTTAATTTTACACTCTACAGTTTTTCGAGGATAGGCCTACTAACAAGTATTGATATTGCAGTTTCGTGTCTGTTCATGATGTAGCCCCTAGAAGGTTAGGTGAAAAGTGACAGGAAGGAGCATCTATTTAAATTGAATACCTAGACTAGGTCTAGTTAAGTTATTTCACATTGAAACGCCCTGCACTCCCTACGTTACTAATTTACTAAACTAGAGCAAATAATCGAACCATCACAATTCGATTTCTTTTTAAAATTTGTGATTCCCCTAATTATTTACCTTACCCATTGATGTGAGTCCTAGACCTAAAATAACTTATGTTTTTAAGTTTTTTTAACAGTGGTAGGCATATCTAATGTGATTCTTGGGTACCTACAGTTTCTTAACTGGGCTATGCTAATATCGATTGAAACTATCGATTCGATTAGTAAACCTTCATGCGATTTTTTCACCATCAGCATGTTTGGTTGGTTATGTTATGATAGTTTAATTTTATAATAGATATATTTAAAAATATCGATTATTAATCAATAACTTATTTCTATTCGATAGTTTCAATCGATAAAGCATAGCCCAGTTAAGAAACTGTACCCTGATTCTTCCTTAGTCGTCTTTTATGTCAGTCAGGTCTATACTATAGTCATAGGCCCCTATTTATACTCATTTTTGTTTCAAGCGGATGCTTATTTAGCTTAAAGCAGTGGCGTAACAGATTTTTACGGGCCCCCTGCAAACTTATTTTATGGGCCCCCCTCTCATTAGTTATTTTTAGACCACCGATACAACATAATCAAACACCCTTCCCCTCCCCACAGAGTTATTTTTGGACCACCTTTACAATTATCAAACAGATGTCATAAAATAGAGTAGTAAATAAATTATGGATTATGTTCCATAAAAGGGAGTGTTAAGTATTTCAGTCATAGTTTTATCAAAAAGTTACATCACTACATCATTAGGCCTATAGCGTTTGTAAATAGTTTTGAAATAAAAAAAATTCCTTATTTCATCATCCGTATCAGAATATGGTTATATCAAGGAGGTTTTACATTTAATTTATTACACATGTTATCCATTTTTGCTATCCTAATAATTAGACTAATTTGTTAATTACAAGGCGACAATGTGGTTCGGATTCCTCTATAAACTGTAGGCCCCTTGAACAGCTGTGTCTAAAGAATATGTCTGCCTTTGTCACCATCAAGACTACAAGGTTGCGCCACTCATCCTACACTCATATCCAATCTCTATTCATACTTGGCTTAAAAAAATACCTACATTCGTATGGTTGCCATTTCAAAGTATTCATTCAAAGCATTCATTTAAAACCTCGTTTAACCAAATAAAACTATGTAATCATAATAAACAATAACTCGTCCACTAGCTATATAACCAAACAGTGAGACACAAATACAGTAATGAGAAACTAACCCTAGGCCTAAAATAATAAAAACAAATTGTAAACAAAACACGACATCTAAAGAAAACCGGACAGAACTAACAATAAAATTAGCTTCAGCTGTTCCATAAGGATGGGAAATCTACTAAGGAACTATGTTTTATCTATGGTAGGCCTAATACATTTGAATAAGAATGAACCCAAATTATTCGGACCCACTCGTCTCACGGGCCGTTTCCCGCTCACCGGTTCGCGGGCCCGCTCAGCTCCCGGGCCCCTCCGCATTGCGGGCCCTGCGGGCCCTTCTGTTACGCCACTGGCTTAAAGACATTTTATTCGCGTTATGTTTAGGCCGGAACTGATTAATATTTTGAATTCAAACTAGGCTAAACCACATAAGTTACCTTCTTGGGTGTTGGCAGTCAAATCTGAATCATTTTACAAACACCTGGAATAAGTTAACTTACTTTACAACTAAACTTAAGTTAGCTACCTCTAATTTATATACTGAAAACATTAACTTTAATTTCGAGTCAGGATCATCTACCTACTTAAGAAAGCAGAAACAATTTAACCAGAATCACAACAAAACAAACTAATGTTTCCTTGGAGCGACCTCTTGTGCCAATTTAGCTCCTCATACTGTAACTTATTACTTAAGCTCTTTTTCTAAGTTACAGAAAGACAGTAAATTTAAGCTCATTAAAAGAATGTGCAACTTAAGTTATCAAGATTCAAGAGAGAGTCATTTCATAACTTAATTTCATTTAAATGACTTAAAAGTTTAGTTTAGGTAACGTACAGTTCCACAGAGAACCTTCAATAAGTTGTATTATCGGATGACCTGAAAAACAAAAATACGTCTGATAACACTTGTAATAATACATTTACACTTATACTGCTGACTCACAAGACGGTAATAACTTACATATAAAAGTTGGACCACTTACCTGTCGTTCCTAGATGTTTTTTGGTATTTTCCTGTTAAAAGGAACATTCATTAACTTACCCTATTAAGTTATCGATTATTTTTTTGTTATAGGTAGGCTAACAACAAATAATATTTAAACTAATGTGGAAGAAAAACAGTGCAGTTTTCAGTACTGTTAATGTAATAACTGCATAGGATTATACTTTAATTGTTTCCTCCATTTTTAATCGAAATTGAGTTACTTAGGATATAATAAATTATGCATTGATAAAATAAACACAAAAGCTTATATACCGAAAATGTTTTTGTTATTGTTTTAATTTATCAAATGGTTTAAAATAATCAATGCAATACCGGTATTATCGAATCGCAGACATATTGATAAACTTATATTATTCATCCGATAATATATTGCTGGTTCTCTGCGGAATTGTGTACCCTGATAATAATATTATATCAACAATTAATTACACTTTAATTGTTAACTTCTAACTTGCTAAAACGCAACACAACGTTTTCATTTTTGTTTTGCTCTAGGTAATTTTAAATAAGAAATTCCTAGGCCCAATATTTTCTGTTTTCAATTTTACTATAAATTCAATATCAAATGAAATAGAAAGGCAATTAATCTCAACCTAGGTTGTTTCAACATTATACAAATTCAACCTAGGTTGCGGCTGAACTTAGAGGTGTTGGCAATACAAGGTTACAAATATTTAAACCCCATTGACAAAAATACAAATCAGATAGCCCAGCCTAATTTAAAGTTCATTGTAAAATCCTTCAATTAAGTTTGGTTACTTTCACATTTCCCGAGGTTTCTAATGCGGCACCAGTGGCAGTTTGTGGCTTTCCCTTTTCTTCCCACCACCTTATGACAGTGAACATTATGGTAATTACACGTTATTACTTCTTAAAGACGTGGTCAGAGCTGTTATCAAGCCAAAGACAATACCGTAATATCAGTAGCTTAGCAAAAATTTTTAGTTACCGTATGAAAATAGGCTTAAAATAATCTAGACTTTAGAACCTAAAAAGGTTGTTTTGTTTTTGTAACTTGGATAACTTTACATTGGAAGACTATTTAGGGATAGGTACTGAAATCACTGAGCTAGAAATACAACTGCACTATTACTGGTGGTAGTACTGGTGTGGCAATTCTGCTAGAAAATGGACACTGTGTAAATGTTTGTTATGTTGGCACCAACTAAAGGAATCAACCAGCTAATTGGCTTATGGCCTTATTACAATACCACAATCCCATATTCACCTTCCAGTTCCAATGTACAATGTTATGTCTACAATACAATAATGTACCTTACCCGTAGTTCTAATTGCCGCCAACGTCTCTCAATTCTCTCATTCAGTGCTACCTCCAGTTGTATTACTGCTCAAATACTGAAATGGGGGTTTCAATCAATTTTAGAAAACTATGTTATAGTAAGCTAAGTGTGTAAACAATTCAAGATAACTTTTATCCCTAGACATAATTTTATTTCAAATCAAAATTCACCTAACTTATATATATTAATACTACAGTACTTTTGTATTTTACAATCATTGAAATTGATGAGTAAAGTAAATTTGGATATGCACCACCTGTTGTTAGCAACCAGCTCACTTGGAACTGCTAATGACAGTGTATGGTAGCCTATTTAATCATATCATCACAGTTTCAGAACAAATTTGATGATCTATTTCATAAACTTTGATAATTTACAACAAATTTCAATATAATTAATCAAATCAAAATATTCTTTATTTATTCAAAATATTTATTATTTATTTATTTTTAATATTCTTTATTCTTTATTTATTTCATTAAGAAATTACAATGGCGTCAAAGCTAAAGTATAGTCTTAAAATTAAAAATATTCTTGTTTGTTTCAGGTCTCGGATGAAGACACGGATGTACGGCACTTTGATTGAGGATGTAAAATGGTTCAAGAGACTTAGCGGATTTCACTTTTAAAAATAAAATTTAATTTCCAATCATGGCCCAGGGGCAAGGGACGAATGACTTGCCAAAGAGTAATCAAATTGATCAGATCATAAAGAACAATAATTACCAATTTCATGAACACCATTTTCCCAAGAGACCAACCCTTGATCTCACATTCAAGGATATTACTTACACCACTCACTCATGGAGTAAACTGGGAAGAGGTGAGTTTATTTTATTCATTTCTACTCCTACTTTACTTAAGTCAATTTATACGGTGAAACAAAATTAAATAGAACTAGATAACTCGTTGTTCGAAATCGAGCAAAACTGCAACTTGTAATAGCCTATAGGTAAAAGAATAGAGATTAAAAACATAAACAGCAAGACCTCAACCAGTCACTCTAAAGTAATTTCTTTAACTGATTATAGAAATATGAAAAATGTTATGTTACAAAAAAATACGTAATCTACAACATTTAAATATAGATCCACTCTCATACTGGTTTGGTTATCTCTTATAACAACCCGCCTACAGTGGAAGGTCCTCTATTAGACCCTCTATGAGAACATAGTAACCCCACACTCTAAAGTGTGCTTTTCAGACCTAATGTAGCAAGCTAAATCCCTCTCTTGACGCCAATATTACAAAAGCACGTATTATAGCATTATTAAATTATTTCTACAGTATGTTCTGTTTTAGCCGTGAAACTTTTAGGAAATATTAAAGTAGAAGCTTGAAAAGGTTTCTGTCTTGTTCTTGAGTTTAAAACTCATTAGGATGTGTCATTAAGTTACCTTGTCAATCCTCTCACAATTAATTTATTGATTTGCTTTTTTTGGAAACAGGACAAAAGTTTGGTATGTTCGTTCACATGATATCTGTTTTGCTTGTTTGACAAATATGATATATAGAACAGAAGATTTTCTAAATATATTAAATAGGTTTGGTTGTATGCCATTGATTAAGAGAGTTTGTTAGCTTTTAAAATCTTCTGTATTACTATTTTAGTGGGTTTGAAAGTATTTTTAAGGTCTAGGTTCATACAGGCCCGGGTTTAGGGTGAATAGTGCTATAGCGCCCTGGGTTGCAAACATTATCCGGACTGGCCTCAGTCCTGTGCCTACTTATAAGAGGGACTGGTGTCTACTGTAGCTTCAAAGCACTAACTTTTTCCAACTCTTAATAAACTTTAAAAGCAAAGTACGGATATAATTGAAATATGTTGCGGTATTAAAAAAAAAAAAAAAAAACTGCGGAGCTTGTATCCAATGAACATCCAAGTAGTGTTATCCTCTAATCAGAAGTTGAGTTAATAAGAGAAAAAGTAACAATCCTAGATTGAAATCTAAAGATCTTAAATGGATATTGTTTATGAACTTAGATCTAAATCTGTTGACGTTTATTATTGTTTGTATGAGAATTAACGACTACCTAACTAAGTAATATTGATTTTTGGTCAAGGTTAATAGTGAGAAGATTATCATGTTTTGAGTCTGGGAATCTAACCTTACCTCTGATAGAGTAATTAGTAATAATAGCTCTGAAGTGTGGTTTGTATACAATAGTAATTATCATTGTTAACGCCCATTGTTTATTCAAAAGATTGCTTCATTATAGCGTACTAATAACCCATAAAATAATATGTTAAACTCTAAAGAGAGTATGTACAAGGCTTTACTTCAACTTAGGTATTGCTAATCAACCCTAAGCTTTGTTAAAATTATCTACTCACTCGGGTTACCTAATTTACTTATTTAATTCTAAGGTGATCCTTAATAATATATTTGAGAATTTTAGTCAGTAGCTGTCACCATGAGTGTCAAAGGTACATCATTAATTTAATTTCTTACCCTTTATAGCTTGTGAAACGTAAGCTGGCTCTTGGGTCTGGCGCGAGCAATGTAGGCATCGGGAGGGTGGAGGTAAGGAAAAGACTGAACTACAAAAATTTCCGCTGACTCACGTGGTTGATTCCCAGTTTGTCATGTACTTAAGCGCCTTCACATGGTTCCCGAGGACAATTGGTGCAACCCCCATAACCACACATAATGTTTTTGAACTAGGCTAGTAGCGACCAGTCAAGTGCCAGCTTACGTGTCACTAGCAATAAATCCCAATAAATTGGCCGTCAATGGTAAAATACTTTAAGTTTTACTTCTATGGGAATATAACTGAACAATTGTTGTTTGAAAAGTATACCTTACATGTGCTGACACCTGGGAGTGAAATTTAGAACTACTATGCTTGGGTTTATTGTTGACCTTTGCTGTTTGCAAGGTCGACTGTTGTTACGTCTGATGAATGGCTTAACGGTACGGTCTAAGGCATTGTATCTTGAGCCCGAGTTTAAATAATACCCAGACCTTACAAAATTCAATATTGGGTAGGCAGCGGTGAGGATGCAGTCTGTTAGATTAGAGCGTTATTCTTAAATTGTTAAGTGAAACAATTTTATTATTTTTTTTTTATTTATTAATTTTATTCTTTAGTTGTTGTGGAGTTGATGGAATGGGTAGGTTCTATGATAAGCACAAAAAATATACATTTTGCTATTTTTAACGTATCTTTACTGTCTGTGTAACTTAAATAAAAAAAAAAAATATGTTGATAGGTATTTAGACTAAGCAACACAAGGGAGTATGTTTTATCGATGGTATTTGTGTCTGTAAGGTAGGGAAACAAAATAACTAAGCGTATAATTTAATAAAAAATCAATAGCGCTCAAAGGTTTGAGATATGTTTCTGATTGAACGAATGTCACTTGCAATATATTGTATCAAGGACATAAGTTATTGGCTAGAGTTCTTTAAAGTTGAAAACTGTCTGGCACATTTATTACCATCTACTTATTTATTTTAATATCTCTATTTTTGCAAAAAACTATATGCTTATCGTATCAAAATTATTGTAATAAATAATTATGAAAATCCTAATTTGGCGAGGGCTTAGCTGACTTACTTGCAGTAAGAATCTCTTCCTGATAGCAAGGAGACCACGGATCCAATGTAAGGTCAATGACTGTCTAATCAGTATAATGAAGGTTCTATTGTTGTCTAGACTGCCTACAGTAGTCAGCTACTGGTATCCTCCAGGCCAAATTGTGGTACCGGTATGTATAATAATCCCAATTGTGGCATATTTGAAGATGTTTTAAAATCGTGCGAGAAAACAGAATTTGAATTAGGGATGATGTCTACTGGGTTTGAAAGAAAAATGTAGATCATATTGTGTCACTCAACCTTCTATGTTAGTCAAATATGAAATTAATTTTGTCACTGTTACAAAACAGACTTTAGTTTTGTAAACTCCTTTTTGGTTAGTGGCTATGCATTTTGTATGTGAGAGGCTTTGAATGAAAAGCGTTCCTAAGCCTTCCAATTTTCTTTAATATGTCGATTGAACATTTTACTCTTGGTTAAAAGCCCAAGGCTCTAACTACAGTAAGCGCAAGCAGTCTGGGAGCGCAGTTCCATCCCTACTAGCCGTCCTGTGTACATGTCACCCACCCCCTCCACTACGCCTAGCCATGAAGACAGCTGAACAACCCCAGAGCTGTGTGGGCCAGATGTTTTTGGAAATGAGCAATAAACACTCCCCCCTACACCCTGGCCCTAGCGCGGCCGCACCCCCAGGCTAAATGCGAATACTGTACACTATGATGCAACCCACCCCCCTTTTTTAAAGAAAAATCTAAATTAGAATATTATTTTGTAAGTATGGAAACACCTCAACATATTGTTATTTATTTTGCTCCTGGATTTTGAACATGATAAACCTGAAATGGTCCTTCAATTTGTCTTTCAGTTGTGTTTTTAAGTTTCCATTATAAGCTTCAACTCTGTGACAACACATGTGATTTGAATAAAAAAATTCCCACTGGGCGTAACCACTGACATTTACTGTCCTTGCTTTCCTTTTAGCCTACTCAGATATTGCATTGAGAATTAATTAACATGTGGATTACATGTACTACTACTGTATTTTAAGCCTTCTTTAAACAAGGCAAGCAGGTTACGTGCCTCAGTAAGTTTCCATGTGCAGGATTTTTATTTTTTGTACCGAAAACCTGATTTTTGAATCTTGTGGGGGGAAACGGGATGTAGGATAAAACAGGATTTTAGGCCTTGGCCTCTGATTTTCCTTTTTTTGCTCTCAGATAAAACCAACCCCAGTTACTTAAACTATTTTAGCATAGTATAATATCAAGTTTAAATTAGCTTTTTAACACGGTAAGTCAAAATGATGACTCTGTATAGAATTGGACCATTTCACTAAATTTATACAAGATGAAATAGGATTTACACTGTGGTGGGATTTTCTCGACCTGGTAAAAAGGATTTTTTCATTTGGGCGAGTGGAAACACTGATTACATGTTACCTGAGGTAGTTAACCTCACCGCCTACTGGCCTTAAACACGACTTAGCTGTCCAACTTGCATGTTATAGTCTTTCAATTAATTTTGAATTGAGTAGAACTAAATTAATGTACAAATAATCAAAATTATTTAATGATTTATTGATTAACAATTGATTAACCTTCAGCTAAACTGAACATTTGTTTTCCAGCTAAGTAATCTAGCATATTCCATATTAGGGGAATTCACTAAATCTACTCCCTGAAATTTATCTTTGGCTTTTATAAAAAAAGATCAATTACATAAAAATCTAAATATAGATGGGATATCAAGCGTATATTTCAGTATCAATAAATGTCAATGATCCAAACCTTCAATTATTACATTTGTGGTTATAAGTAGGCTCTAATAACTCTTAACCAATGGCAACTGACATTTGGCCTGGAGGTTATACAATTATCTTCCTCATGTAAGGTGAACAACCTGTCCTAGTAGCTGCAGGTTACTCTGAGGTTTACGATGCTGATGACGTAATAACAGTCTGTTGTGCTACCTGCAGACTTCCCCCTTCCCTACTGACTCAACTGGTAATAGACCTCATCAACAACAGTAAACAGGTTGCTCAAAATCTTATCGTTATTCACAAATTAAACGTTATGGCCTTTGTAGTCAGTAAATCTGTATGAAAAATTCTATAAATTTGATCTTTTTGCCTAATGTTACACGATACTTTAATGCAAATCCAATAAAAAAAGTTGCAAACTTTGATTAGCAATCCATTGGTTATTATAAGGCTTTTAATGGTGGGAGTTTCCAATAAACTTACATAGCAAGTTATGTTTATCTAGGAGATCTGACCATTTTT